AAAGCCTGGGCTACATCATAAGTGGCTGGACAGCTAGGGCTACACAGAGAAACCCTATCTTGAGGGGGAAAAAAAAACAAAACCAAAAACTGTCCTGAGAATAGATACCTGAGTTCTCAGCCTTAGATGGGATGTGTACGTCAACCCTCCTCTGTAAGGATCACAGGACACTCAGGGAGGAGGACACAGAGGAGGACAGGAGAGTGCTGGGACCCAAGCTCCTCTGGGCATGACATGGCTGTGGCAGACACAAATGGTGACAGCTGTGGTTACCTACCCACGATCTAGTAGTCAGTTAAAGATTCCATCGTGGAGGGCTAGGGCCTCCAGTGGCTACGCCTCTAACAGAGGAGCTGTTGGCAGTTGACTTTTGGAGGGGAGGGGAGGTAGTTGCTGCTAGACTAGTCTTGCCCCAGGGGAAGCTGCCACACCCATCTGTATACAGGCAGCACTAAGTAGGCTCAGTGGTTTACGAAGAAGAGGGCATGAAGTTGGGAGACAGATGTGTTGGGGAGGCTCCAGAGAGAACTGAAGGGAGGGGGTAGAGAGGGGTATAATTAAGATGAATTGTATATATGTTAAAATATTCAGGAAATAAATACAAAAAGGGGGAAAATACAAAGAAAAGCATGAAAAAGACATATTATTCTATCACAGATTATAGTGTGTATTTGTTTTTTCCTTTCTTAATATTTATTTTTATCTTATGTGTATGTGTCTGTATCTGTGTGCATACCACATGTGTGTGGGTGCCCACATAGGCCAGAGGAGGGAATTGGAAAGGCAGCTGTGAACTGTCTGATGTGGGTACAGGGAACCGAACTATGCAAGAGCAGCCATGGCTCTTAACTGCTGAGACATTGAGCCAGCTCTGAGTATATTTCTATATACATACGTAAAATACACACATGCATATATATATATATACATATATATATATATAATATATGTATACATACATATATTATATATATGTATATATAGTTAGTTAATTGTAGAAAAGAACTAATATATAGTTCTACGTAAGTTGGTGCAAATTTATATAGACTATTGTGAGTCTGTTGTGCTCACAATTATGTGTAGTTTCTGGCTCAAGCTTGGTATTCAGTAGTTATTTGTGAATATAGGTGCCTCTGTGTGTGTGTGTGTGTGTGTGTGTTGTGTGTGTGTGTGTGTGTGTGTGTGTGTGTGTGTGTGTGTGTAAAACAATGCTAGACCTTGGACCAAGGCCTTCACCCTTGTAAGGTTCTCTACCATCAAACTACAGTCTTGACCCTGCTACTATATGCAATACACATTATTGCCCAGGCTAGCCTTGAAATCCTGATTCTTCTGCCACATCTGACTGCTGGGATTATAGTTATGAGGCCCCTATTTGGTCTGTATTTTACTTTTCTTACATAACATATTAGACAAAATTCTAACCGTGGGCAGGTTAGTAGTTTCCTGCAGGCTTCTTAGCCGAGGGAGAACAGAGCCTTAGACCTGATAAAAAAAAATCCCACAAGTGAGATGACTTCCTAGTGTCCAGAGTCCCCTCAGTGGGGAGAGGAGCTGAGTCATATCACACACCACCAGCGTACACCCTGGTTCTGCCAGCCTTCTGAACTCCTCAGATCACTCATCAGTCTGGGCCCCAGTTCCCACACTGTGCCCTGAGAACAGACCCGTGGGGTCGAGGGAGGCGAGGAGAAAAGTCAGAATTAGTCACAAGAGGCAAAAGGCCATATGCCAGTCTTTGCCTGGATGTGGAGTTTCCCTCTCTTCTCTTCCCTTTCCTCCCTGCCCTGCCCTGCCCCTACCCCACCCCACCCTCAAACCTAGCTTTCTTACCTGCTAGGTATAAGGGCTCTTTCTATTGCTGAGTTAGAGCCTCAGCCAGATGTTGACCTTTTCAATCCCAGGGCAGCCTCACAGGTCTCCCCCAAAGTAAAAAGATTTCTTGGGTATTTCAAGAAATATCCAAAGAAATGGGGAAGGAGATCAGGGCCTGAAGCATGCTAACCCTAAGGCCGAGCTCTTGGGACACATCTGTCTGAAATACCACTACTCACAAAGTACTTTCAAGAACATCATTTCCTTTGATCTATGATACAGCAGAGCAGATATGATCAGTCCCAGCTTCAGCTCGGAAGCCTGGGTGAGGGGCCCAGGGACAGGCAACTGAACGTGACTGGGGGTGGGGGAGCAGGTCCTACTCTAATTTTAGCTTCCTTGTATTGGGCGCATCGATATATTGCTAATGGCCCTTGAAATGTTTATAAACATTTTCCAAGAAGAACGCAGGGAAAGGCTCTGTGATTCTCTTACTCTAATACGGCCGTTGTTCGCATTTGTTGCATTTTCTTCCAGCTTCTCTCTCTGTGCCCTTTAATAAAGTGTAACTATCATTGTATGCAGGATGCAATGCCACTTCTTTCACACTTCTCTTACTTGACGACACAGTCCTTGTAGTTCATGTAGCAGTAGTTAACACCTGCTGTCTGGAGACGCTACTCCAGACACTGGGGACACAGCATACAATCAAATAACAAAATTCCCTGTAATCGTGGAATGCATATTCTGATGAGAGACACAAATAAACAAATACGTAAAAAATGCTGCTATTGTATTAGTGAGCAGCAGGAGAAAAGATCTTACCCTTTGAGCCTAAACCCTGAGGGACAAGAAAAAGCAAAACAGTATTGATTCAAAGGAGACTGTGCTGGCTAATTTTATAGCAACTTGATATAAGGTACAGTTATTTAGGACAAAAGAATCTTTTTTCTAAAAAAAAAAGATTTATCTAATGTATAAAAGTATACTGTTCCTGTTTTCAGACACACAAGAAGAGGGCATCATATTTCATTATAAATGGTTGTGAGTCATTTATAATGTGGTTGCTGGGAATTGGACCAAGGGCCTCTGGAAGAGCAGCCAGTGCTCTTGGTAGCCGGGGAGGCATCTCTCCAGTTCTGGACAAAAGAATACTAATTAAGAAAATACCCCCACCAAACTGACCTGTCCGAAGCCTGCGGGGGTATTTTCTAATCAGCAGTTGATGTTTCAGGGCCCAGCCCATCATGGATGGTGACACCTCTGGGCAGATGTCCTGAATAGTAATTAGCCCGAGCAAGACATGCAGATCAAACCAGTGAGCAGCACTCCTCCATCAGCTCCAGCCCTGTTTTGTGTTCTGGCTCTGACTCCCCTCAGTGATGGACTGTGATGTGGAACTGTAAGCTGACATTAACCCTTTCCTCCCCCAGGCAGGTTTTGGTCACAGTGTTTAATCACAGCAATAAACCCCTAAGAGACATGTATGTTTCCCTTCAACAAAACCAGTGCTGACAAGTTTACATCCTTCAATTCAAAGTGTGAGGAAGTTATTCTAAGTTCTGAAATTTTACTTCCTTCCTCTTGGAAATTACCGTCAACATCTTCTGATTTCTCCTTGGATGACATTAAATTTTGCGTTTTAGTCTATCATGGTCATGAAACTATAGCATTGTGTTTGGACATTTAGGGGTTTTCCTTCTAGGTTTAACTCTTTAAAAACTTCTCTTCTTCACCAACCTAACTTCCATTGTTTAGGATTACCGAGTTAGGAGAGAGTATAGGTGAAAGATTGTAAGATCAAGGAGTGCAGGCATTCCAGGGCATGGGACACGCACATCTTTAAAGTTCTTGATGAATAGGACTAACTGCTTGCTAAACGACTTTAGTTTGTTCTTCCTTCACAACCCATTCTTAGCTCCTGCATCCACGCTTCAGCTCCCTCCCTCACCAGGAAGTGAGAGCTCACCCTCCACAGAACGAGGGACAATTTCCAAGGAGCACACCAGAGTCCAATTGAGTGACATGCTCCAAGAGCGGAAACTGTTCTTCATACTGTGCATAGCTCTATGCAAGGGCAGAAATGTCACTTTTCAGTAAATGCTAAAGGAGGGGACATGAAAGCTTTCCATGGGCTGGAGAAGCCTTCTGTCTGTCTGTCTGTCTGTGTGTCTTCAGGGAGCTCAGCTGAGAATGTGAAGATGAACTTAGAGGCGAGCTCTGTCCCAGCAGCCTAGAGCAACACCTGCTCTGTAAGCATCGGTCTCACCACGATTACCTTGATGAAGGTCAGCACTCCTGTCCTGAAAGCCATGAGCCTTTGCCCCAGGCAGCAGTGGTAAGGAAAGGAGGGATTATGCTATAGATGGGCTCTTGAACTTGAAAACACCTGAGGTACATCTTGCTGACCCAGGTGACTGTTGGGCTGCAAACCTTGTTGATCCCAGGGCATAATGGGGACACACAGAGATGTTCTTTTTGACAAGAGCAGCTACAAGATGGAGTCAAGGTGGGCTGTGATGCTACTGAGAATGCAGGGGTGCTAGATGAGGAGGGGCGGTTAAATAGCCCGAGAGAATGCCCACCCTTCAGAACCGACCTAGCACTGAACATCAGTCTGTGCTGCTACTCCCCCGTCCACAATCTGGCTAGGACTTGGTCCTTAGCCCAATCAGGGGATTCCTTTCTCTCACTGATCAAAATGTTTGTAGGCTAAATCCTTTCAAATAAAAACATTTACTTTCTAAGCCTTCCAGAAGCCTCAAAGGATAAATCAGAGTCTGAAACGGTTAATTCTAAACATTTGTACTGGAAGAGCTCCCAGAGCGGGGGTGGGGGGGTGGAGGTGGGGTGGGGAGCCTGGACCACATTTAAAAATCAAAATTACACATCTCTTCTTTGAGATGACACCTGGCAGGCAGATGCTGTACGTCTTCCTCATTTTTTCCTTTCATCTTGCCACTCTTTCGATGTGCTATGCCCTTTTACAGAATGAGACTAAGTCATTCTCTGTCCTCCTGAGTTGACCACACTCACAGGTGTGACTGGCACTCCTAGTCCCAGGGTCACACAAACCATCACCCTGAAGGGCCTGAACTACTGAGTTGAGTTTTGTCTGACTGTGCGACATACCCTTCTGACACCCATCTCGCTCTTCATGTTCAAGTCAAGACATGGTTGCCAACTAGGGCCAACAAAAGTTTTTATTGAGATGTGTGCTCACAGAAGAACCTGGGATCCCTAGCTGAGTGAGGGGGAATCTGAACACCCACGGAAAAGTTTCAGATCCCGGCATTCAGAAGGAAGGCCAGAACTACTTTCAGGGTGAGTCTCACAGCATCTCCAGAGGGGAGAAGGGTCACATCAGGGTGAGGCAACAGGTGGGAAGGACCAAATTGAGCAGCTCACATGGGGTTGGTTTCCATGTCTTTCGTGAGCCTTTGAAAATGAAAATCCGAATTGGGGATGAGAAACAATGTAGAAAACATAGTGACAAGGAGAAGAAATTCCTCAAAGGACAAAGGCTTTTGCAGGGGCAAGAAGGACCTTTGAGAGTCTGGATTGGATGTTTGGGCTGAATTACACAGAATGAACCGGAGAACGGAACCCACTTCCCTCCCATCTACTAGGTGAACCCATTTCTCCAGGTGGGTGTCTACAGTCTTTCTTCCGCTGGGGAAAATTAAGGAAATACCCTATCCTTTCCCGTCTGTTTGCGATAACAGCCAGCCTCAGCAGCCAACTCTGAGAAAGCCGATGGGCAGTCCCGGGCGCATCTGCAAGCACATAGTTCCTCTCTTTGAAGCTCCGTTCCACCTACTCCATCCCTGGGAGGCTACCAAGCGGCCGAGGCAGAGTTCGCCTTTGGAGACCGGCCCCAGAACACCGAGCTGTCGTCCCTGGAGAGCGAGGAGGCCGAGCTGATTCTGCGCACCTGGCGCCCGGCGCGCGTGCACAGCCCGAACCGGGCCCGGGCGCGGAACGAACGGTCCAGCAGGAGGTAGATGACCGGGTTCGCACTGCTGTTGACGAAAGCCAGGCAAGTGGCGACAGCCAGACCCCAGCGCAGCGCCAACAGCAGGGAGCAGGGCAGCGGCAGCGCCCGGAGCCGCGCCAGGTGGAAGAGGGCGCGCAGGACGCCGAAGGGCAGCCAGCAGCCCACGAAGACGCTCTCCACGGTGAAGATGATGCGCAGCGAGTTGCTCCGGGCCCTACCGACGCGCGGCAGGCGGCGCGACACGCGCCAGTAGCAGGTCAGGGTGACAGCCAGAGGTAGTGCAAAGGTCAGCAGCAGCAGCAGCAGCCCGACACCCTGAAGCGCATCCCAGGGCTCCTCGGCGCACTGGCTGCCCACGCCATCCAGGCTGGGCTGCAGTCTCCGGTAGAGCAAGGCGGGCAAGCCGGCCAGAAACGCCGCAGCCCAGGCGGCGCCGCACGCGGCTCGCACACAGCGCGTGCTCCGTAGCGGGCGCGCGCTCAGCGGCCGGCCCACGGCCAGGTAGCGGTCCACGCTCATACCCGCCAGCAGCAGCGCGCCCGCGCAGCGCGTGGCCGCCAGCGCGAAGCTGCTGACTTTGCACAGGACGTCACCGAAGGGCCAGAGGCCGCCGCGCGCCTCCGCCACGGCCCACAGCGGCAGCATGAACACGAAGCCCAGGTCGGCGGCCGCCAAGTGCAGCACGAAGGTGTCCACCAGCCGCCGCGGCCCGCGCTGCCGGCTCAGCAGCCACACCACGAAGGCGTTGCCCGGCAGGCCCACGGCGAAGGCCGCCAGGTAGAGCGCGGGGATGATGGCGTGGCCGTAAGGCAGATCCCAGGCGGGGCACAGCTCCACTTGGTCCAGGGAGCCCGAGCCCGAATAGTCCCAGGACATCGTGCCCCAGCTAGGACTCCAGGCCTCGGTGGACAGCATGGCTGGGGTCACCGGGCCAGCGTGCACCCTGGCGCAGTGCGGCTCTCTCTGAGCAGGAGGGGGTTTGCTTTTCACAGCCGGTGCCCAGCACCTCCCTTCCTGCCACCCTAGACCAAGGCTATGGGGTGAGCAGGAAGGTGGAGGGTGAGAAGAATGTGGGGCTGGGAGGGGCAGGCCTCTGTGGTGGAAATGGTGGCCTTCAAGTTAGGGCTGGCCCAAAGGGAAGGGCAGCGGGAGCTTTACAACTGGATATTGTGAGTTGTCCTTAGGGCTAAGAGACCTGCAGCCACTCAGAGTTGGTGGCTCATCATTTCTTGGGTGCTTAGCCTACTATCTGGGGGAGGGGGTGGGAATCTGAGATCGGGTCCAAGGGGCATTGGGTACCTTTGAGCCCTAACTTGTTCTCAATTCTCACCAGGCATTTTCTTCTTTGGTTTTTTAGAAGAGAGGAGACAGGCCAGGCATGAGGCCGTCTAAGGGAGGATAATGCCTCGGCTTCCTTCTCTAATCTGTTCTGTCTTGTAGCACGCAATGGGGTTTGAAGGTTGAGGGAGCTTCCCTTGGTTCCCGATCAAGAATTGGCACCAGAGTTCTTGGACTGATTAGCCTCCTGGGATGAAGGACTAGATGTATCACCTAGAGTGGGATTTTTGTCCTGGTCCAGTCTTCATGGAGCCATGTGGAAAGGGTCTAAGCTAAGAGGGACAGAGTAGTCAGGTTGCTCTGCTGGAAAGGGCCAGGTCCCTGGGTTAACCTCCTCCTCCTTCCCCATACTTCAAAATCTTCCTGGTAAGTCAAACAGGGCCATAACCTCTATACAAAAGATGACACAAAATGGCCTCTAACAATCCAACATATGTGCTATTCTAAATCATGAGGCAGCAGCTCTGAGCGTTCTCGTGAACCGAAGGGAAGGAAAAGATTTGTGGATAAGGGGGTGCAGGATGTCTAAGCTTGCATGGAATGGCAAGACAGAGGAGAGATGAGGGGGGGTGAGGCAAAACTCGCTGTCTCCTCTCAGAGCTACACTACATTGTCAACACCCACCCCCTGACAGGCCGTCTTGGAACTAAGGTTAGCAGTAGTCAATCCCATTGTCACCAAGAATGAGTGATTGGTGCACTGAGCAACCTGGTGTTGGAAATTCCAGGGGACTGTCAGTTTTGTTCATTTCCAACCCACTCACGGTGACCTCTCCACGCAGCAGGCCCTGGTTTAGTTTGCATCACAAGAAATGCGTTCTTGACCTCAGATCCATTACTGAGGAGGGTAGAAACACAGGCCGCGTGCCATCAGTCACCAAACTGTGGTACAAGTTTAAAACAACATCCACTTAGAGCTTAGAAGGAGGAGCTGTACATCCGGTGGGAAAAGGCCTGCAGAGGGGGCAACAGTTCAGGTCGGGTCTAGGAAGGGGTTAAAGGTCAAAAGGAATGGCAGAGCAGAGAGGATGAGTCAGACAAGGAGGGGATAACAAAGCAAGTATACTGAGACATGTAGGAAGACACTGGCCGGCTGCCGGAGCCTAAGGGAGGGGTGCAGGTAACGGAAGAGTGGACAACAGATGAAGCTGACAAAGACACTGTGGCCTGATCCTGAAGGCTTTTGGCATCAGTCTGATTTGCAAAGGTCCTGGGAGGACTGTGTGGATTGTCGAGGGGGAAGGCTCAAGCCAAGGGGACCCCACAGGAGGCTGTTGTATGTGTGAAGGAACTAGATGATGGTTATTATTTTATTTTGCAGGGAGTAAGATCTCACCCTCATTAGGCAAGAGCTCTGCCACCGAGTGATGTAGTTATTGGCAGTAGGGACAGGAAAGGGAGGATGTGTCAAGAGATACAGCACAGGTGTCCACACAAGAGAGGACTGGAGGGAGATCTGGGATGTCTCTTCTTTGGAACAGCGTGGAGATGATCTCTGTAATGAAAGGACGAGAGCACAGAAGGGCAGCTGTGTGTGTGCCCAGACTGACATTGATTGGAAGTAGAATGATGACATCATTGATGATTCAAATCAAGACAGGTCTGAGAGTGAAAGAGGCATTGTCAGCAAGCAGTACTGTTCTGGGGGCCATAGGATCCCACCTGGGTTGTTTTCTTTCCTATATGGAGCCACCCAGCAGGGAATAGGAAGATGGGATGGAGGGCCAAATGTTTTCCAGTTTCCGCCCAAATCCAGCAAGAGAGGGAGGGAGTAGCCAGACTGTCTTTCTGTAAGGGGAAAGGGCCTGGGGTTGATCTTCCTCACCTGACTCCATCCTGCAAAACTTACCCAGTAAATCAAACATGTGTGGACTGGGGTTCATGTGTAGCCTGTTCCTGCCAAGAAGTTTTTTTTTCTTGGGCTGCTGAGATGACTCAGTAGGTAAAGGTGCTTGTCACTAAGCCTGAGGACCTGAGTTCAATCAGTCCCTTAACCTACGTAGTAGAAAGAACGAACCTACCTCTCCAAGTTGTCTTCTGATTACACTTATGCCATAACACACAGCCCCCCATGTATACACTCATGCACACACACATATACACTCATGCACACACATGCATGCACACACACACTATAAAGGCATAATTGTTTTTTAAAACAGTACTTCTCACGCCAGTTTCAGGCTGGGAAAAGAGGCCGCAGAGTAAACCTGTCCAATCTCTGTGGGCACCTCAGTTTCTAGTCTTAGGCTTTCTCCTAAAGGTCCTCTACCTACATGGTGCTGGTGAGCTGCACCTACCTCCTGGTTGGCCAAAGGGGCTACAGGCTCCTTCCCTGGAAGACCAGCAGGACAAAGTCTAGACAGTTGAGGCCAGACTCAGTGCTGCTGGACTCTAACTCATTGCACTGGGGCGCGTCTCAGCGCTCAGAGAGCGTGAGTAATTGTGAAAGCTAGTGATGAACAACGGAGATGCCACCAGGGAGAAGGCAGACTGGGAGCAGCTGCCAAGAGGGGAGGGCAGCAGGGGGCAGAGGGGAAGTAGAAGTTGGTTGTTTACTAAAAAAAAAAAAACACAGATTTGTGCTTCCTGGCTGTGGTCTTATACACAAGGGAAGTCTGGTTGAGCACATATGGTGGATTTTCTCTGCCTGGGCCCAAACACAGTGGCCTTCCTGAGCTTGTCTAGAGAAGAAAGCAGCAAAGGCCAGAGCTATGGACAACGCTCTGAGTGTGAACTCCTGTAGTGCCCAGGCTGCTTTGTGGGGAGTGGCCAACTACTGTCTCTTTACCCTCTGTGGAGCACGCACCACAGGGTTACAAACAAGTTAGCCAATTGATTATCCATCCAGCCGAGGTGAAGCCCCCTCTGACTAGTGTGCAGAGGCTAAGCGGAAGTGGCCAGTTCTTTTTCCATCCTACTCCCAGAGCCTTCTCTGATACCGTCCCTCACAGGCCTCCTTCTTCTGAACTGGGGGAGCTGCTGGGCCGACTGTTCTGTGGTCCACCCTACCCTCTCCAGGGCACTGTATTGTTTTGAAGGGAGAGAGAATAATGTGTACAACCTTTAATCAGAGTTGTTTCTGGAAGTTGATTTTGCTTTCTGCCCCTATGTAGGCTGTATTTAGGGCATCACACTACTATTCATTTTTCTGTACAAATAATACACTTCAAGGAAATTTTGTCCTTGCCTTTTTCATTACCAAGCCCCATGAAAATCATTGCAGATTTGGCTCTTCACAATCACACTTAATAGATTGGTGATTTTTTTTTTCATCCAGGAAAGGATGTTTTCGAACTCACTCTGTAGACCAGACTGGCCTTGAACTCACAGAGATCTGCCTGCCTTTGCCTTCTGAGTGTTGTATAAAGGCATGTGCCACCAAGCCCAGATAAGTCAATTTTTTTTTAATCTTGCTTAAATTTTTAAGTATTTAAACTCAGTGGCTTTAGTGCTTTCAATCGATATCTTTTGTAATATTTAGATAATCATGTCCTTATGTATTATTATGATCATATATATTTACTATTAACTTTCATAAACTATTTAGGATGAATCATGATCACATTTAATTCAGATATTTTTCCAAACATTTTTGCATCTATTTTAAAGTTTTTAATCTTAACAGTTTCAAATTTGTTGCTGTTGTCATTTTCAGTTTAAAATGTTTCTCTTTGATTATGTGTTATGGTTTGAATGTAAAATGTCCCTCCCAGGCACATGTACATACTTGGGTCTCCAGCTAGTGACCTTATCTTGGAATGCTGTGGAACCTTCTGGACATAGGATTTAGGTGGTGGATGTAGGGCCGTAGGGGAAGACCTTGAGGTGTATAGGCCAACTCCACTCCAACCTGTGTGAATTCCATCACAATTTCTTGGGCTGGGCTGGACTGAACCCTCTCAAATTATGAGCCCAAAATAAATCCTTTCTCCTTTACTTGACGTCAGATACTTTGTCACGGCAACAATAACAGTTAACACATGTGTGAACATTGAGTTCTACGGCCATTGGTTTTAAAGACTTATGGGTGTGAATGCCTTTATGTACCGTATGTGCCTGGTTCCCATGGAGGCCAGGTGTTGGATCCCCTGGAACTAGAGCTACAGGTGGCCGTGAGCCTACTATATAGCTTGGTGTGTCTTCTCCAGGTGCCCCTTGTCCCCAGTTGTTCTGCTATGAGTGCTACTTCTCCCTTCCAGGAGAGGATTTTCCTTGCACACAGTAGCTGGGTTATGTATGGAATCTACAGAGACACCAACCTCATCCAGAAATCAAGATTTGACCACCATAATTCATAGGACCTGGTGTCACTCTGATGAATCCCTCAGGGCCAAATGCTAGATGATAAAAGAGAAACTGCTAGAATGATTGAAACCACAGCTTGCACTCTGCCAAGTCAGGCAGTTGACAAGGAAGTTAGAATTTGAGTCTTAAGGACAAATTAAAACAAGCAAAATCCTATCTTGTGTTTCTATACCATTGATGGAGCATGAACTGGGAATGATGAATCCTCTACCTCTATTTGGGTAGGTCCTTTGTAGATGTGAGCATGTACTGAGGGGCACAGTGGATCAA